TATCATAACCAGTGCGTGTGCCAAATTTGATTTCAAAAGGTCAAAAAGTACGGTCACTAGAGTGCAAAAACGATCCAAGGGTGTGCAAAATAATAGACACCAGAAATTCCCACTCAAAAGCCACCTAACAAAGCCACATTTGAGATAGCCTTCTTTCCATGACGGTGCGACTAAACACTTTAAAGTAAGAGAGCATTTAGCAAATTTTAAAATGATTTTGTCTCACCGTAAACCGCATTTCGGAAGTTTTATGTATTTCGGAAATTGTGCCACGTCGAGTAATTACCTCATTTCGCCACGCTGGTTGCGTGTGATTAAGGGCCATCGATATATTACGTCATCAAAAATTCTCGATTTTAACAGTCCCCTCCCCACCCATCGTATACATTAAGGGGTAGGAAATTTTAACAAGTTAAAGATAACAAGACCTAAACCAGCCACCCAGTAAAATTATGACGAAATATTTGGATGTTCCCTAAAGTATTTACATCATGGTCATAAATCAACCTTGGATCGAGACGCATCACCAGATAGATATGCCAGATTAAATTATGGACTTATCGTATCCAGCAGGGATATGATCTTCCTTTTTAAGTTTCATAATCTCCTACTATCCAAATATGCAAATATTTATGTATGTACATACCTATGCAAATCTGGGATATAGATACATACGTACATAACTCTCATGTGTAAAAAATAAATCTGTTCGGTTTTGTCCATTGTGTCGGGTGCAAAATTACGCGATAGGTTGTTGCGAATTATGTCAGCAATCAATCACTCTTGAACTGTGAATGAGGCACTGCTGGGACGTAAAAATAGATGCGCCAACACTCACAATGGAAGTCTCCCAACGTATGCTCACAGATTTGGATCAAACTAGTGTCAATCGATCACAAATATAACTAGTGTGCAATTTGCAAATGGAACTATCTGCCAATGCTCAAGTTCAGCGGAGATATTTGCACAAAAAGAGGAGAAAACGCACCCCAAGGCAGGCAAATTTTTCATTTTCCAAATTTGCTGCGCATTTTTTCTGCTTTGGATGCAAATATCTCCGCCAAACCTGCGCATTGGCAGATAGTTCCATTTGCAAATTTCATACTAATTATATTTGTGATCGATTGACACCAGTTTGGTCCAAATCTGTGAGCATACGTTGGGAGACCTCCATTGTAAGTCAATTTATATAATAGTAAGTATCCATACTTAATTCCGCGAAATTGAAGTCCATTAATCCAACTAATCCAAATGATCCTGGGTAAGATAAAGTATACAGTGTCGGACAGATGTCTACGTCCACATAGTCGCGTCAATTTCATTTTCAAATTGTCACTGAACTACTGAACCAATTTTCATCATTGATATATCAAATTCTCACAAATTTAACGTAATTTCATAGCACATTATTAGTTTTCCGCTAAAAAATTTATTTTAGGCCAGAGATGTATTTTAATTCAAAATGAAAACAATTGGATGGACAAAAGTCAACGTCCAGTCAGAGAAAACATACAAAAAAAACTGTAATTTATAAGGAATGTTATAACAATTAATTTTTAATATTTGGTTGGGCCTCCGTTCGCTTTAAGGACGGCTTCAAGGCGTCGAGTCATTGAGTTTACCAAATTCTTGGTCACATCTTCAGAAATGGTTTCCCAAACTTCACGAATTCTGGATTTAAGGCCCGGAATTCCTGAAAAAGATTGTTTTCTTATTTCTCTTTCAATGTGGTCGCACAGATGCTCAATGGGATTCAAGTCTGGAGATTGGGGAGGCCATTCTAGCTTCGGAATTTTTTTTTCTTGAAGTATTCCATGGTGGACTTGGCAGAGTGTTTCGGATCGTTGTCTTGTTGGAAGGCAAATCGTCGTCCAAGTCCAAGTTTTCGAACAGATTCCTGGATATTACGGTCAAGTATTCCCTGGTACTTGTATTGGTCCATAATTCCGTCAATAAATTCCATTTTTCCTGCCCCACTTGAAGCCATGCATCCCCACACCATTACCGACCCGCCGCCGTGCTTAACTGTGGGGTTGAGATTTTTTGGATTCAAAGCTTCTTTTGGATATCTCCACACTCTACGACGCCCATCTGACCCAAAGACATTGAACTTTGACTCGTCAGTCCATAAAATATGTCCCAGAATGTTTGTGGCTTGGAAATGTGGTCTCTGGCAAACTTCACTCGTTTGGTTGCATTCCTCGGTACAATAAGAGGCTTCCGAACTGCTCTGTGGGATTTCAAATTTCCCTTATTCAGTGTTCTTTGGATGGTCATAGGACTAACCTGTTTGCCGAACATCTCCTTGATCTCGGTAGATAGCTTTGGAGCACTAAGTGAGGGTGTAACGTTGACTTTGTTGAGCACGTGGCGTACTTCTCGGTGAGCCAAAATGGGTTTTCGACCACTTCTGACCTTGTTTTGGACTGAACCATTAGCTTTAAAGTTCTTAATGATTGTCTGGATGGTTGTCCTTGCTAATTTATACTTGGTCCATATTTGTCTCTGCGACAGCCCCCTTTTTGTCCACCCTTCCAGTCCTGAATGACAAGATCTCGAATAGCGATAGGAATTTCCTTGCGTGTCGACGCCATCATATTTTTCTGGAAGAAAATTATTTAAAAATTAATGCGGCATATGTTATTGATAGATTTATTAAGTTACCTGATTTTATAAATTGGAGAGATTTTTGTTGTTGACAATTAAAGTGAAGTGGACGTAGACTTTTGTCCGCTCAAATTTCATCCTCTCTCGCTCTGCACTATGATTCTCAGTTTTCCCAGAATTTTCAGAAATAACTCATATGTTTTATGAAATTACGTTAAATTTGTGAGAATTTGATATATCAATGATGAAAATTGGTTCAGTACTTCAGTGACAATTTGAAAATGAAATTGACGCGACTATGTGGACGTAGACATCTGTCCGACACTGTATTTGAACCCTTTATTTAGACAGATTAACGTCATAAATTATTTTCACTTAGCTCTTGTAAATTCAACTGGGCATTTGACACACAAAAATATAAAGTTCTCGTTAAAAATTATACGCCTCTTCATAAAGTTGTGCAACAATGAAAAAAATTGGCGCCCCCATTTTCGTCCCCAGGATTGGCGCTATACTTACAATACTTTCCATTGTAGTACAAGGTATGGAAAATTAGAATAATGCAAACAAATTTTATGCATTAATAAAAATGCAAGCGGACTTATTTGTCCGTGTCACCTCATTTGACGCATTAGCGACACACATATGTAGAGTTTATTCAACATGGAAATTGGTGAAAATAGGCATAATTAGAGTTGTGCGGATAAGTGGGTCGGAACAACCCAACCCGGGGGAGTTTTCCGGCTTACGGTTATAAATAATGCATCCGAACCTGCGCTATTAGACTCGCCCATAACCACCTCTTAGAAATTTCTACTTACAATGCGATCGTGTGAAGTGTAACGCTCCGATTTGGTTGAAATTTTGAAATTATGTGGTCCATATCAATACAACCAACGTTTCTTGCGGCAGTTTCTTCCATAGTCAGAAATTGTCAAAACATTTGAGGTTAAACTTGAAAAAACGGGATTTTTACATACTGTCGGAGTCAAACTCAACTTCTATTATCCTCCCGTGCCAAAAATCGCACATTTTTCAACTTTGACCTCAAATATTTTGACCAATTCGCACCATCGCACAAAATGCCTAAAGAAACGTTGGTTGTATTGACATGGACCACATAATTTCAAAATTTCAACCAAATCGGAGGGTTACACTTCACACCGTCGCATTGTTAGAGGCATATTTACACATAAGCACAGTGACATCAATTCAGTCCTTTAATTAATCAGGACTTTAATTAACTATTTAATATGTACATATGTGTGTACATGTATTTAGATTCTCTTCAACAAGACCCTGAGCCAATGGAGGAGGTTGGCTTTAGAAATTTTATTAACGAAGTTATCTCCAATCTTTCGGAATGGATCCTTGAAAATGGGATGGATCCCACTTCACCGGATCAGGTGTTCCCAGTCAATATCGAGTCAGGACCCGTATCCCTGACAGGAAGCTTATAGTACTTGAACTACACAACAAGCCTATGATTCAACTTCGTTCAACCTATGTTTGCTTAAACCCTATTTCAGCAACGTCTCAGTTATTGGTTTGTCAAGCATTATTAATCACACGTATCATGCATCTCAATCAATCAATCAATCAATCAATTTATTAGCATTTGATATGGCCATGAGCCCTCATCAATACAATATTGTTTAATAAAACAAAATGAGAGCGAATACTCCGTGGGCGCAGGGAAACCTGTAGGATAAAACCTGGCCTGCCTCGAGAAGCGTGGCACCATTTGGCACGGGTAGAATTTGAAGACTTATTCTGAATAGAAATATTCTCATCAGTTAGCATAGTCATACATTAATAATTACATATTGCGATTTTTTATATGTTTTGTGGTAGTTGAGGACTTCGGTCTGGGAGTTTGCTGAAGGCTGTTGACCAGAATCCGAAAATTGCGTTACAAAAATTTGGGTTATTATTGTTGTTGTTGTACAGGTCGGTGAAATCTTGGGAGTGTGAGTTTGGGGACAATTTACTTGTCAGATTTGTTCTAGGGTCGATGAGTGAGTTTCATTCGAATAGATAGTGGTTAAGGTTTGAGTTACCGAGAGAGCACCAAGGGCAAACAGCTTCATCTTGGAGGGGGGCCACCTTATCTTTGTATACAATTCGGTGAAGGTTGACTCTAGTTGGTGCTAAAGTTTGTGCCGCTGGAAGGGTAATGTCTTGAAGCAGATATTTTTCTGTGGAGGCGTGAGTTTTGATTTTTGAGTAGTGTGGTGTCCAGACCGAGTTGGTCATTCGAAATGTGTCTTTGTTGAGAAGGAATGTAGTCAATTTGCCGATTATAATTTGCTTCTGTTCCGGAAACACTTTTTTGAGTTGCTCGTATGGTTGTTAAATTATGTAACCGTCCTCGGTTAGGTTAAGCCACTTTTTTAATTGTTTTCCCCAGCTTCGTTTTGCTGATGAGATCCTTCATCTTTTTGGAGGATTTTACAAATAAGGCACAGAGTTACTTTCACCATTTGGATAGATGTATGTTTACTTCCGGTCTCTAATCTGACAACGTATCCTGGGGTGGACTTTGAGAGGCGAAGCAGACGCTTCCAAAATTGACATTGCGGTTGCTCAAGCTGATCTTCTTCTAGGGACAGTCCCCAAATCGGAGAACAGTAGAGAAAAACTGAGTTGATGAGTGATTGTTGGAGTTTTTTATGTGTTGCAATTGGGGGGATTTTTCCGCGTTGACAAATTCCAATCACTATGGCTGACGTTGCTGCGGCTTTGGAAGTAAAATGTGATTTAGCTGTAGAAAAGTGACCATTTCTGTGGAATATAACACCCAGGTAAGTGTATGTATCGACTACTTCCAACTCTTCTCCATTCCATAGGATTTTTGGGTTCGTTTTCATTTTCCTCTTTGAGAAAGCTACTACTTTTGTTTTGCCGATGTTGACCGTTAGCCCCATTTCTTTAAATGATTTTGAAAGGATGTTGATTTTTAGTTGGTCCGCTGTATTCGCGATCAAAACGATGTCGTCTGCAAAAAGCAGGAGATGAACGAGACAAGATCCTATTGCGACTCCAGGCACATCCGAATTGTACATGTCATTGACGACAGAGTCAATATAGGAATTGAAGGTAATAGGGGAGGCCCCGTCGCCCTGAAGGACCCCTTTGTCAATTGGGAAGGGTTTGGTGAGACCATCTCCAGTTTTTACGACGCCTTCAGCAGAAGAGTACAGATTTCGGAGGAAACGAAGTACTTTTCTTCCCATTCCGATTTGGGCCATCTTTCTCCAGAGTTTGTCGTGTGGTGGCGAGTCAAAAGCCGATTTCAGGTCGACATAGGCGACGAACAATTTTCCATTGGGAAGGGCTAATTTACTTTGAACTATTGTATTTAATATGACGATTTGCTCCATCGTTCCCGTGCCTGCTTTGAATCCTGCTTGGTATTCTGAAATCTTCTTCGACTCTTCTCCCCATTGGCTAAGTCGTTTTGCAATTATAGATGTTAGTAGCTTGAGGGTGGTGGAAAGTAGCGAAATTGGTCTAAAGTTTGCCGGGTCATTTGGGTCGCCTTTTTTGAAAATGGGGTGGATAAGAGTTTTTCCAAAATCTTGTGGGATTTCGCCCGAATTCAGAATTTCATTGAGGAGATGAAGTATTTCTTGTTGGTGAGAAATGGTTATAATTTTGAGAACCTCGTTCGGAATTCCGTCAAGTCCTGGGGCCTTCTTGGATTTTAGTTTCTGTATGGCTGCTACCATCTCTTCGCACGTAATATTTTTATCCATCTCAGCATTTTCCGTACCTTCAGGGGGTGTCGTATATTGGGGGTCTGAGGCTTCTTTTTTGAAGAGAGTGGAGAAATGTTGTCGCCACCTGCTCGATTTGATATTGTTGTTAGTATTTTGTTTTCTTGGCCGGAATTGGTTAATTGACTCCCAAAAATCCTTCTGTTTGCTCTTTTTTAGACGATTGTATGCGCATTTTGCTTGAATGTAGTCGATGGTTAGGTCAGATGGTCCCTTACTTCTTAAGACTCTAATAAGCCGGCGCAATTCTTCTCTTTTTTGACGGCATTCTTCGTCATACCATTTCGCATCATTAATTTCGTTTTGTGGGCCAAGCGGAATACTTTTTAGCATTTTGGTGTTTTTTGCTGCTGTGAATGCGGCTTGTTGTAGTCTTGAGTATGTAAAGGGACGGTTATCTATGACCCTGTCGAAGCTGTCGAGAAATTCGTCGTATAGGGACGGGTCCCACTTGATCCGATTAATATATTCCATAACCGGTTTGCTGATAATATGTTGCGTCGCTTCTGCACATCCAGTTTTGATTTTAAGGAGCATTAGATCGTGGCATGATGACATTGTTGGCACTATTTCCATATCTTGGATGGACTCAGCCGCTGGGTGACTACTAATGGCGAGGTCGATAGTGCTTGATCCATTGTTGTTTCGAAAGGTGTAGGCTCCTTCTTGGTCACTAATAGTACAACCATTGATTAGATTCCATCCATTTTCTATTATTGATTTAATTAGCAGTTTTCCTCGTTTATTTGTGAACTTATCTGACGATTTTCTCGTTAAATCCTTGTGCTCCTCCGGGGGTGGCGCAGAGAATTCCCCAACCCTTGCATTACAGTCTCCCATTAGGATGAAATTATTTGAGCCCTCGGCAGATTCCATAATAGAGTGAAACACTGAGTCACCATCATTTTCAGGAGGTATGTGCACTAAAAATAGTTTGCAAGTGCCATAATTAGTTTTTATATCACAGACAATTGAGTTTGCAGTTGTTTCAATGTTTGTGACATTATTTTTGTGAGCAAACACTATTCCTCCCGTTGCTCGACCTTTTTGGTTTGACTTTGTCGCGGAGACATGTACATATTTAAAATCGGGTAAGTAGGTTTCTATTAAATCGCACTTATCACAGCACCAAGTCTCGGATAAAAACATTATATCCGCGTCAAAAGATTTTAAGAAGTTATAAAATTCGAAGTCTTTCCTTAAAATTCCTTCCACATTCCATGATATTACATTAAAAGTTGTTGTTAGAGTTTGGGTATTTGTTACGGTTTTTGATGATGATGAGGATGATGAGGCTCAGCCGGTATGTCAAATATTCCGAGTTGGTCGAGGTCTGCGCTTTTCCATAAGACCAGTGTTGCGATCATAATCATACCAATCTGTTCCATCTATGAGAAGGGAAGTTGTCGTGACCTTGACCGTGGTTGCTACTTTGTTCTCGAGCAGCTCTCGTCGCTGTCGCAGGAGATTATTTCGGATGCCCCTTGGCTTGGGGGGAAGATCCTTCTCCAGTCCGAAGCCCTGCCTTCCGAGCCTCCCTGCGTTCTCAAAAAGAAATGTGGGATCATGATTATTATTAAATTTGACAATCAATTTTCCACTTCCGATTGCTCTAATTGAGTTTATTCCTGGTTCGTGTCCTCCCAGCTGATTGAAGATCCGATTTACTTCACGGTAAGCCTGTTGTTGGTTATTCGCCCGAGTTCCTTTCACTATTACATTATTCTCGTTCAGTTTGCAGTAGAGATTTTCGGTCACTTTCTCAAGGTCGTCAATTTTCTTGCTTTGGACGGCAATCACTTTCTCTTGGGACGCAATTTTCTCCGTGTTTTTATTTGATTGCTGCTGAACTGTGTTGATCTTTTTTTCCCATTCGTTAATTTTGGATTTGATTTCTAAGAGATCCGACTTTATGTCTTTGACCTCACGCACAAGGGTGAGGAGGAGTTCTCTCTCGCTGAGATTTTGATAATATTCGTCGCCGCCATCGTCGACCTTTTTCCTTTTGATGGTGTGTCTCTTTCCGGGGTTTTGAGGGGTGTCTTGGGCAGTGTTTTGGGGAGTGTCGAAATTGTCGTCATCTTCCTCACCTGACACGGATGACGGCATTATGATTGGTTTTGAGGTAGGAGTATACGTGTGATAAACTGTAGTGCTGTGTTAATTGGATGGTTTGTGTGCTAATTATTTATCGGGGAGATTTGTTTTATGGGAGAATTAATTCTGCGAAGGTTTCTTGTCAAACTGCACTATTTTTGTAAAGTGGGTGTGACCGTTTTAATTAATTATTGTAATTTGAGTAATATTACTTTTGAGAAGCAAAAGATAAACATGTGTGCAGTTGAACCTCCCGGTATCATGCATCTTACACATCATATACGGATCTGAAGATCGGGATACATGTATATTTGCGACATGGTGGAATTCAAGGTGGGCACCCTACAAGGATATGCAGAATGTTGATTTTAGGGATGCACCGAGTAGTGAAAAATGAGACTCGGCCGAGTACCGAGTACTCGGCAATTCTTGAAACGAGTACTCGGCCGAGCACCGAGTAATTCATAAAAATCGGGCAAAATTTGATAACAATGAATATCTCCCAGCGTAATCTACCTAATTTTGACGGTGTTAGCGTCGTTAAAATTATGTAGACACTTTTGGCGTAGATATTTGCATACAAAAAGGTGAAAACGCGTCCCAAAGTTAACAAATTGTACACTTTCCAAGTTCAGTTCACGTATATTCTTATTCGGATACAAATATCTATCGGATAGATATTCGCATTAGGAGATATTGTCTATGAAATTGTAATATATTAACCACATAAATCTGTGATCAATTGAAATTAATTTAGTTAGAATCGATGAGCATACGTTTGGTGACATCCATTGCTAGCACAGTCCAAGAAAACTCGTTACTTTGGTCGTAGCCTATAAATTTTGACTTATACGCAAAAATGTTACGAAGTATATTTTGCAAAACCCAAAATGCAAGAAAACTTCATGAAATCAGTTTCATGGACAAGATAATTTGTTAAAAAATGGCCAAAAAAATTGAGAAAATACTCGGCAAAAGGGGGAAATGCTCTTTTGCATTTGCCACCTATCCGAATTAAATAGGTGCAAACTCAGGTCTAGGGAAATTAGAAACAACCTTTGCAAAACTTAATTTTTTAAAAGTTTTACACTATGTCGATGTTACTCGTTTTCTTTATCAAATTATGAGGAAATGAGTACGGTTCAATTCGAGCAATCTTTAAAATAAACATGTACATACATATATATGGATGTATTTATATAGGTACATATGTACATATAAAAATGTGTACATATGATACATATAAATATGTACATATAAAAATGAAAAAATTGGAAAAACAATCGATATTGTTCCACAGTGCCCGTATTACGAACCAGCATTTTCAGAAATTAATCAAGATGATGAGCACGAAGTGCAATCCGAAAATACTGATCATTAAAGCAGTTAGGTCTACGCAGAACTAAATAAATGGGCTGCATATTTTTTCACTTTGGACGGTACAAATAATTTTCCCGATTTTTACCAACTACGATGGTCAATAAGAGTTTGGGGTGGGAAAAATAAAATTCTATTAACCCACTATTGATTACATTTTATTGCATAGCTTTGAGAAAAACTTTGTAAACCAGTCGTATAAATAGTTACGCTGAAGACACATTTTTCAATGATTTAACGTCATAATTTATTTTGAAAAGTCGTTATCAGATATGTTAACCATTGCTAGTTTTGAGTTGGTTTTATTTTAATAAGCATTATATTATTGCTTATTTTAATTATTGTTGATTTTAACATCCCTCACCCATAGGGAGTTACAATGTAACTGGAGATGCCATTGGGACGTTCCCGCTGAATGCGACGAGTGCATTTAAGGTGGTTTCAGACAACCTTAAAATCGCAATTTTCATCCCCTTTATACAAACGAGTGGAAGGATTGTTTTGTTAAATTCAACAAACGCGGGATTTGACGATTTTGAGTTTGAGAAAACTTCCTTATCAGCTCAATTTGATAATCTGTTCGATCTTTCACCTGATATAATACCGGCACAAGTAAACTACGTAAGCAACCAGCTTGCCATGATGTTGCCACGCACGGTGTTTGAAGACAAGGAGAGACGTATTTGTAGATTCTTTCTTATGCAGGGGATGCAGGAGATGTTCTCGGTAAGTACATGAATGTAAATTTTACGAATGTATTTACTTCTGTCTCCAGGTCGCATACAGAATAACTTAGCCGAATATCTCAAATGTCACATCTTTCAAGCTGTTCGAGATTTTTCTACCGAGGTGTATCAAGTCAAAAATTATGAATCACATGGCACCTAACCTATCTTTCCGTTGAATGAACTCTATACAACGCTTGGGGCAAACTTCACTCTTCCGTCTCGGTTTTCACACCTTGTAGGAAAAGACGGAAGGAAATTGAACTTCGCAATATTTTACTTCAATGAGGCGATTTAACATAAAGATGAGTGTCCGGTGGTTACTAATTTTTGGCTCGATTCGTTTCATATTTCGATAGATATTCCCGGTGTGGCTTCTAAACAGTTTCATTGTTAGTATCATGAGGTATTTTTGAAGGTAGGGTGTCAGATTTGATTGTGAATAGATTATTTTGTCAGATCTTAGACAAAATTTAATTTACTGAAAAATATTATCTATCTCACTGATCATTTGTACTCGACGTGTACGCGACTACCTTTATGTATTCGTGTGTATCTTTTATGAAACTAATAAATATGTTCGAGTCTAACATTACACATAAAAACCGCCTGTCGTTATGTTTCAAAGGAAACACCAATCACGGATATCATCGCTTGGCCAGAGAAAGGCACTTCAACGACTAATGCTCAAACAACGACGACAACAACGCGACCTGCAAGTTCCACCTTAGTCACGACAATCGGGCCACCTACAACTACAATTACACCAACCACAATGAAACCTACCACATTTGCACCAACTACAACTGCACCAACTACGACTGCACCAACTACATCTACACCAACTACAACTACACCAACCGTAACAACACCAGAACCAACCACAGTAATAACTTCCACTCCGACTTCTTCCATCACTACAATTGCTACTATGCCCTCAATTCCACCGAATGAAATTTTTACTGCGTGTCAATTGGCAGAAGAAATATCTTACATTAGCGGGAAGAGTGTAGACTGGGATACTCTTCTGGAAAGCTGTAAGGATCATTTTACTTCCTATCCAATTGAATACGGCTCACTGCATTTATATTCATGTGTTTTATTGTCATATTATTCCAATCGCAGGGATTTGCTTGGCGAACATGACAACCAAATTTACCAACTCTTATATACAAGTCTCTAACACAGATCCCGCCATTGTGTATTATGGAGTTTTCAAAGTACGAAAAATGCAGGTTTACTATTTACATCTGTGCAAATGTTCATACATAGGTTCACAAAAAGGTATGAATGTATGTATATATGTACGTGAGTGCCTTGCAGTTCATAGTGAGCGTTTCATTGTCATGTCTTTCATAATTCTTGTTTCATAGTACATTCGTTTCATAGTTGTTTTTGATACCGTCATTTTTTAATTTCATAGTTATTCACTACATAGTCAATTTTTACATAGTGGAAGTGTTACATAGTGTGAATGTTACATTGGATAGGTTTAAAATAGTCGCAATCTTTCGTAGCCCCTTAAAATTTCGAAGTCTTTAAATGAGCATTTCATAAATCAATTTTAAGTAGTGGAGGCTTCCGGATCATTTTTAATCAATCGAAATATCTTCATCGTATATTGTAAATGTTTAATAACTCTTTATTGATTTCGAAGATTAACGTTTTCATAGTTGGTTCATCACTCCAGAGGAAGGGAAAAACGCAAGTGCCAATATGTATGTTACATGAAATGCAAAATATAGATTTCAAATTTGCATAAAGTTTTAAGTTAGGCTAACTTAAATTTTGTTGTTTTAGCTTTTGGTATGCTATGCAATTATTATAATATCTACTTTAATCATGCCTGGGAGCGTGGTCGTGGTTATCAAAATGTCACGTTAAACTTTAGAATCTGAGTTACATCACACTAAACGCCTATCATAATTATATAGTGCATGCTTTACCTTAGTACATAAATATCAAAGATTCCTTTGAATATTATTATGTAAAAATAATTCTAAAACATAGAATTCCAAAAAAATAATTCATAGATCCAGATTGGACACCATGTAAAAGTGTAACTATGTATCAGTACTATGTAGTGAAATCACTATTAAAATCACTAAAAAGTAATGGAAGAAGCCGCGGTGAAAGGCGAAGACGAAGGGGAGGCAAAAGTAGAGGAAGGAGTTGTAACGAAGTAAGAGAAGAAGCAGGGCTGACGACAAGTTAATATTTTATAATGAACTTTATCATTCTACGGATAATAATAATAATGAATTAAAAACTGAACTTTGTAAAATAAAAAAAAAATCAAAACCGAAATCGGGTATAAAAAAAATCACTATTAATGTTATTCACTATTAAAGAGACTGTACTATTTAAGTAACGGGTATATAAAGATATACTATGTAAAAGCCGACTATGAAAAAACGAACTATGACAAGCCTATGCTATGAAAATGAACCTATGAAAATAGTGACTATGAAAGAATGACTATGAACTGCATGGCACCGTATGTACGTATGTATGTGTACACCAAAAATTTTATTACCTAGATCATCATTCAGGGCAGATATATGCACTGTCTAGTTTCATTTGCCTAGATCAGCAACAGGTGGTGCACAGATCCTCATCAGAGTGCACGGAATCCATGCAATATTAAATGCCAAGGTTCGTAAAACCAGTGGACCATTATTATAATTTCTTTGATTAACGAATGTTTTACTAAAAAAATCTAATTTTTACTATATATCCAATCTGTGCATGTACAGACCTTATAAACAACCTTGAAGGTAGTATCTCCTGTGCGCAACATATCGTGGAAGAAAATGGGTTTCGCGAATGGCCAGAGTATGGACGATGGTGTAACAACGTGCCGGACAATTACCTCGCAGAGTGTCGGCGTAAGTTGTTACTGCCGTATGACAAGAACTAGTTCTAATTATGCATTTGCATCAAATGAATCTGTTAATATTCAATCCTCCTTGCAGGAGCTCCTGGATTTATATCAACCGATGGACCCGAGACAGCCAAGGTATTCAATGAGTTAAGCCAAAATCAGCACATAACTTGTTCCGTGCAAGGAGTTCCTCCACCAGAGTTAACTTGGGATAAAGAAACTACAGCATACATAGTTAATTATTCTGGAAGACTAGAAACAAGTCAATTTCGTGAAAGGGCGACCGATGGCTCATGGATGGTTCAATGCCGTCTCACTTTTACTAACGTTGTCAAATCAGACAGCAGAGGGTACACCTGTTTCGCCAAAAATATCGTCTCAAATAAAACGCAAGAATATACCGTGACAGTAGTTCCCGCTCCTGAAAACTCATCATGGACTACTCCAACGTTGATTTCAACGGGAATTGCTTTGGCGGTGCTAACTCCTGTAGTATTGCTGTTATTATGCCGACAAAAGCGGGTTTGTAAATAATTTTAAATAGTAAAATTTTTATCAAAATATTGTGCTCATAGTTAAATTTTTGCTTACTACAGTTAACTAAACTTGGGAAAATGCACGATGAGTTCAAATATGGACGAGGCAGAGAGGATAAGCCAAATAAGAATAAATCCAAAAGGCGCCTGCCCTTCCTTCCTTCAGAAATATATCGAATTTATCAGAACCTTAACTCACTACCGTTTCCGAAAGAATTAGAGATCATTCCATCGCGACTCACAATAAATAAGAAACATGTGCTTGGAGGAGGAGAGTTTGGAATTGTTTATATGGGTTTACTGGATGGGATAATCCCCACTGCGGTCAAGACAGTAAAAGACGATTCGGATGACGCTAAACTCAATGCACTTTTGTCGGAGGTGAAAGTAATGGCTTATGTAGGTAACCACAAAAACGTTACTCAGCTATTGGGGGTACAGCTGGTGGATTTGCGAAAGGGTCGGTTATACGTACCTTTAATCTATCACCAAAAAGTGCATTATTAAATTTCCTGAAATGAATGTTTGATATCCGATATACAGGGAACATATTTGTCGCTGTCGAATACTGCTCATTGGGCTCATTAAAAGATTACTTAACAAAACAAAGTGATGAGCTGGGGACTTCAATATCATTTGATAAGTCTCAGGACTATATAGAGCCACCAAGTTTCGTTAAGCCCTTATCCCGACATGAGTTATTGAGGTGGTGTCACCAAGTTTCTGGTGCAATGGAGTTTCTTGGCTCAAAAAAGGTGGAATGGTCACACATAGTACTATATTGACATATTGTATTATATTCCAACTTCGAGATAATTATGTATATGTAGATTATTCATGGTGACTTGGCAACTCGAAATGTTCTCCTGGACAGCAACTTTGTCGCAAAAGTTTCCGATTTTGGACTTTCTCGCAGGATGTTCAATAATTATAAACAATCTGTCGTGGGTTCAGGAGTGAGCACATGCACATTTTCATGCATACTATTCATACACTGAAAATATATAGAATTCATGAAAAATACAATTAAGATAATAATCTAAACGAGGTTTTTAAATTACTACTTTTTACGAAGGGTAATCCACTTCCAGTTGCATGGTTATCAATTGAGGATTTGAGACATTTACGATTCTCAATTCAATCTGACGTTTGGGCTTTCGGAGTATTTATGTGGGAGGTTTTCACATTGGGCGAAACGCCATATATAGGTATGGATTGGGGTCCGGAATTTGTCCAATATTTAGAGGATGGACACCGTTTAGAAATCCCAGAGCTTGCTACAGACGAAATGTAAGCACAACAAATAATAAAAATGTAATTTCTATGATTTGAACCTTAAAGTAAGCTTGTGCGGATTTGTACCAGCTATGAACTAATGATGAAATGCTGGACATATTCACCAACAAATCGAATTAGTTTTCAAGGATTATCAATCGAGCTTTTGCGCATGTACGGTTTGGAATATAAAAAACTACAATAGGGTTGGATGCTTAACCGTATTCTTAGAAGCCTGAATTGGACTTATAAAACCTAACCTAAAACTTTACGTTCGCCCTTACATACATAGATACACACTTTATGTTCAAAAACAATTCTTACCTCTATGAGATGTAATCCAACTGTGATTTATAAATTCGGCTTTCCATCTGATGATGTTTATCCAAATTGTCAAATATTCATAATTCATATTGTATAATCAATATTATAGTTGTCTTATCGAATCGATAAGACTACCAGTTAAAGCATTTTGTCAGATCAAACGTGGTACAATAATCTTAACTCTAATAAAGGCACAAAGCATGTATAACACACTAGCCTATAAGCCCGTCTTAACGACGGGCCACAGTTCAAATTTTACACTAACATATCGAAATTCCTTGGCACCACAAACTAACTTATGTAAGCACTGAAATACACAGGGAGTTTTTTAACGTTTCTAAGGATTATTTTTAACGTTGTCAAGGATTATTTTTAACGTTGCAAAGGAAAATTCTTTATGTTGCCAGGCAAATTTTTTTATCCTGCTAGGGAAATTTTTTCATGTTGCTAAGGGAATTTTTTTATGCTGCGAAGAAAATTTTTTTATGTTGCTAGTCAAATTTTTTTACGTCTCTAAGGAAATTTTTTTACGTGGCTAGGGAAACATTTTTATACTGCTGAGGAAATTTTTTAGGCTGCTAAGGAATTTTTGTATGTTACTAAGGAAATTTTTTTATATTGCTATGGAAATTTTTTTATATTGCTAAGGAAATTTTTTATGTTGCTAAGGACATTTTTTTATATTGCTATGGAAATTTTTGTAAGTTGCTAAATAATTTTTTTTATGTTGCTAAGGATTTTTTTTATGTTGCTGAGGAAATTTTTTTATGTTTCTAAGGAAATTTTTTTACGGTGCTAAGCAAATTTTTTTACGTTGCTAAGGAAATTGTTTTACTGTGCTAAGCAAATGTTTTTATGTGCTAAGGAAATTTTGTTATGTTGCTAAGGAAAGTTTTTTATGTTGCCAAGGAAAGTTTTTTTACGATGCTAAGGAAATTTTTTTACGATGCTAAGCAAATGTTTTTATGTTGCTAAGGAATTTTTTTTATGTTGCTAAGGATTTTTTTATGTTGCTAAGGACATTTTTTTATGTTGCTAAGGAAATTTTTTTACGATGCTAAGCAAATGTTTTTATGTTGCTAAGGAATTTTTTTTATTTTGCCAACTAGATTTTTTTACGTTGCTAAGGAATTGTTCTTATGTTGCTAAAGACATTTTTTATCGTAATTATAATCATAATCATAATCATAACCATAATCATAATGGTAATCATAATGATAATCATAATCATAATCAAAATCATAATCATAATGGTAATCATAATCATAATCATAACGGTAATCATAATCATAATCATAATCATATTCATAATCATATCCATAATCATAATTATAATCATAATGGTAATCATAATCATAATCATAATTATAATCATAATGGTAATCATACTCATAATCATAATAGTAATCATAATTCGTATCCGTTCTCTGATTGGTGGACCTAGAAAGCTGGCAACCAATCAGAGTGCTGGGATGTCACGGAAAATTTCACGGGACGGACTTTTCGAAATTATAATATAGATGCTTTGTCATATCTAGCAACCAACCTTTGTAGTATTCTCGAAAGCCTTTTATTATGATTGTATGCATTTCAACATATGGCTTTTATTAAGTGTTTGTCTTTGGGCGCTTCTCCACCCAATCCTTAATCTCTGGAATAGCGTGCAATGTAGCATACATTTTTCCCAGAGCGGGATACCCGTCGAGCAGTGGGAGTTGGTGGAAATCCGTGTTGAGCGAGATGTACACGCAGACGTAGACGTCAGCCCATGTGACTCCGTCCCCAACAAGCCATCCGCTCTTGGAACGGGACAGAATATCTTCAAACTTTTGAAGGTACTTGGGAATCACGGTGGCCATCATGGTGACCTTTATGGCAGCCTTTTTGGCTAAATCTTGCTCCAATCGGATTGCGCGAAAGGCCTCTAAAAAATTAAATATTAAAAACTTCAGTGCTATCTGAGGAGATTCGAATGTAGAAACACTTAATTCATCACTATTATTTAGTGAACGTCCATTGATTACGTCGTCAGATAAGCGATGACGCGCGATAAGTAGCTTGTCCACCTCTTCTGTATGTTAAGCTTAATATGAGTAACTTTGGCCACCTAACACAGCTCAATCACCTCTTTGATGACGTAATATGGACATTCCACTCTGATGTTTTGGCGCGAAATATTTTTAAAATGAGTATACTGTATACTTACCAATGCAAAAATCCTTCATTGCATCGACGTATTCGTCGCATTTCGCCGCTTCAAATTCATCCCGCCCTGCGAGGTTGAATCGTTTCGCGACAAAGCGCGCAATCGCGGAAGCTTGTGCTAGTAGTTCTCCTTTGTATTCAAGAACCGGAACCTGTCCCCAGGGCGTATCTGGAGTATAACAATTACGTAAATAGTTTTACTTTGTATTATAAATATAATTGAGATAAATTAAACGTTTAAAACGTTTAAAATTTTGGAAATGTGTCAACCCACCGAAATTTTCAAAATGTGGAACACTATCATAGATATTCGGGTTTTTGGACAAAAATTTTCAAAAAAACTAGCGACATGTTTTAATTGATATGGATGAAATCAAAAAGTATGACTTACTATCTTTGATATCCTTCGGTAACGAGGATGCCGGGTCGTACGGAATCCGGACGTCTTCATATGGAACTCCCGCCATGGCGAATAAATATCTCGTCGGTTCTGCCAAGCCACGGATGTTGTAGTACGTCAACTTGTAGTCGGCCATAATTTAGGAAAATATCTCGAATGAAATTGCGACGAAATATTCCACGAACACGTTCACCTTCTCGTCCTGAGACAGGATTGGACTTGATTGAAACTGGGAAAAGTTGTTTGATGATAACGGTGCTTGATCAAACATGAACGGCAGATAAGACAACGGTGACATGCCAATGTATAAAGTCAATTAGTAAATTCTGATCGACAGGTAAATGTAATTTAAGCATTAATGTAAATATGTTTAAGCATTTGCGTATTTGCATAACTATAAAGTCGAGTCATTCTGAATGTGCAAATGTAATAAACTAAACCTTAAAAAGGATAACTTAGGTGAGACTGGGTTACATATGCGATTAAAAGGATGAAATAACCACCTCACTCCTCCCACACTGAAGAGAAGGTGTTGGTAAAATGAGCATCACCGCCCTGGGAATGACGGACAATTGATCCTTTAAGCATATGGTATGCACTTACATATATCACGGAATTTGTGACAATTAAATTAAATTCGAATACTCCAAATCTATTGTTTCGTCATCGTTCCTGACTCATAGATATTAATTTGTTATCAGCGTTATTGTACCACGTAAGTATGAACTATATTCGGTAAGAAAAATAAGGAGGATACTTGGTGGTGGTTTTCCAAAGTGTAGGTGGGGGTGGGGGATTATTTCATATTCCTGAATACACACTCCAGAATCAACTAATCAGCCTTCAAATTTTGAGATGTGCTTATGCAAAATTTTGATACATCATCCTTCTTATTATTTTTGCACACAGTTCAGAAATCATTCCCAGGGAGGTGATGCTCATTTTACCAACACCTTCTCTTCAGTGTGGGAGGCGGGAGGGGGTTATTTCATCCTTTTAATCGCATATGTAACCCAGTCTCACCTAAGTTATCCTTTTTAAGGTTTAGTTTATTTTAAACTTTTAATTGATAATATTACGATAATTAGTTATTAACGAAATGAATTAACCACACTGTAAAAAATCGGGTAGAGGCATATATATGTAGACACATACTCCATACTGGTATAAATTTGATACTAATACCGGATTCGTATAAATTTGCTTCTGTGTGGTAAATTTACATTACCAGAAATGTAATGCTCATTAATACCATGCCGGCAGAGTCATACAGACATGCAAAAATATACGCCGGCCAGTAATGATCTCTTTTCGAAGAGGACAACCATAATAGTGATTTTTATGTTGTTTTTTCAATTAATCCAAAGTGTTATTGAGTGAGTATTGCCATGTGACCAGCCCCCTTAAGCTACTACTTCCCACCATATGCAACATGACTTTTGTGTCAAAGGGAAAATTTTTTCATTTCTCAACCGATTTTGTTCATCCCAATTTTAAATGAAAGATAAATGAATTTGTTACATTATTTTAATGAAGTGGCGATGATCACCTCATCCACATTTTTACAATAAACCAGAAAGTGACCCTAGTGACGGTTTTTCTTGAATAACTAAACAAGGGGTCACATATCTGGACCGAGAGAAAGCGATTATGATAAAGCACCTTCATAAATGACTGGGTTTTTATTTGATCAAAATCGGTTAAGAAATGAAAAAGTAATGGCCTGTGGTCACTTTTCAGACCGTCATGGAATGCTTACTTAGGTATTTCTTTCTGTAACCATAGCCTCACCTAAGAATAAAACCATCAATCTACGACATACTTACATACCTAGGGCCGCTAATAATCCCACACTGATACATATTTACATATTCACACTCTCTCTTAAAAACCCGGCGTTAATCGGAACCGAACGGTGTGCATAAATAGGTACATATGTATATAACTTGACCAAATGGTGATTATGATTTCAAACACATGATGCTAAATCTATCCCACATGGTGACAAACTGTCACTGGATGGGGCTAATTTTACATATCAACATTAGAAAAGAAAAATTGATACTGTTAAATGTAAAATGATGTATTTATGAAATTGTTTTATGTATTTTTGTAAATTGTTGAATATGCGTGTAAGATTGCCCCGTGACGTGGTGGTGGTTGCCATGGTGACGTCAGAGTGGGATTTTGAGTGCGCGTCGTTCTTTGTTATAAGTCGTAGTAAGTAAGTAGGTAGAAGAATTCTACACAGTCGAGTTTTAGTCGTTGTCAAAGTCAGACATTTTGGATTTTAGTCGTCGTGGTAGGAAATCAAGAGTAAGAATTGTTAATTCTTTGTAATTGATGTCCACGATTAATTTGTCAATAGTAAGTCACCAATCAACTCGTGTTAGTGCAGAGCTCTGAATTGTGTAGACAATTAGTAATTTGTTGGAAATAAAATCTAGTTTAAGTAGATAAAATAATCGTATATTCACTCAGTCACTTTCTTTAATTCCAACGAACAAGGCACAATTAAATATTCGTAAAGACACTATACTCCGGGTAGGTGATAGCTTGGTTTTTACAGATACCGTTCGGTAAAGTCACATACATATGTATGTACACCGTACGCTGCACTGTTAAAAATCTGGTAGTCACATAGATATCCCGTGCTAATATTCATCTATATTATAATTTCCAAAAGTCCGCCCCGTGGAATTTTCCGTGACATCCCTGCATTCTGATTGGCTGTTGAAATTCTGGCTCCACCAATCGGGTTATAATTTCGGTTATGATTTCGGTTATGATTTAGGTTATGATTTCGGTTATGATTTAGGTTATGATTTCGGTTATGATTTCGGTTATGATTTAGGTTATGATTTCGGTTATGATTTCGGTTATGATTTAGGTTATGATTTCGGTTATGATTTCGGTTATGATTTCGGTTATGATTTCGGTTATGATTTAGGTTATGATTTCGGTTATGATTTCGGTTATGATTTCGGTTATTATTTTGGTTATGATTTAGGTTGTGATTTCGTTTATGATTTAGGTTATGATTTAGGTATAAAGAATCCTAAAAGTATTCGTTAGCTACCTGCAAAATTCTCCCTACCCAAGTAAAATAAAATAAAATAAAATCCTAAAATTCCAATTTAGCAACGTTAAAAAATTCCTTAGCAACGTTAAAAAAATTCCTTAGCAACGTTAAAAAAATTCCTTAGCAACGTTAAAAAAACTCCTTGGAAATGTTTAAAAACTCTTCAGCAACGTTAAAAAAATTCCTTAGCAACGTTAAAAAAATTCCTTAGCAACGTTAAAAAATTCCTTTGCCATGTTAAAAAAACTCCTTAGCAAGGTTAAAAAATTCCTTGACAATGTTTAAAAAATTACTTAGCAACGTTAAAAAAATTCCTTAGCAACATTTAAAAATTCCTTAGCAACGTTAAAAAAATTCCTTAGCAACATTTAAAAAATTTCTTAGCAACGTTAAAACATTTCGTTAAAAAAATTCGCGCCAGTTACATATATACTTGGTTAATCCAAAGATTTTGGTGGGTTCGTTTTAAACTCTAAATTTGGACCGTCTTTAAGACGGGCTTATAGGCTAGTTTAGTAATAATTTCCGGATTGGTAGTAAGTAAGTTGTTACTGAGTGGTAAATTTTTCATTACCACAACATTACTGAACTGTCATTACCGTTAATATCAGTGGAGTCACATATGTATTATTTATATATGCACTCCAGTCGGTAATGATTTAATACCAGTTTTCTAAGTGTGTGACATGACTATCATGCGAATGATAAATATAGCGTCGTGAAGTTTGTGACGAATAATGGGCATACTCACGACAACTTTTGCAAACCTTGCGCACATATCCGCATAATTAACTGTATTTGTAATAAATACATACATAACGTCACCCGGGAAGAAACTATATGTATTTGTGGGTAAAGAATGTGTACATAAATTGGCAAGACTTTATTTAGAAGGATTATTTGAAATATAAGTTTATGAAATAAGAATTATGTAATACGTACGTCATCGTGAAGAGTAAAATCGACATTTTAAGAAATTCATAAAGACAAAGACAAAATTAATTTAGTGGTTTGCACTCAAAGAAGGAAATTTTAAGTGACTAAAAACTGTGTTCAAGGAACTCCGGGTCGCCATGGTTACATGTCAAACGGAGATATTACAATTGCATTCAGTTCACATCCCATCAGCCTCAAATCGGTGTACTTTCCCCCATTCTTTGGATCTACGAATCTCGTAGCTTGGGATTTATAGATTCTGCTCGCATAAAACTCAACGATGCGAGGAAATGGTGACGATGTCTGGATTCCCTTTTTCTCCATTGAAATTCTTTCCCCTGTATGTAATCGTCCACTTTCATTCACTGACGTCATTCCCAACGTTATGTATTTTATGCAATCCGGGTAGTTTGCGGAATGGAGAAAACTATTTGAACTTACTGACTTGGGATGGTTGAGGAGGGTTAAATATGTAAGGGATGTACACAAATCTAAGCCCATCTCGCTCCATGCACGATTACACGGATAAAACAGGTAAAAATTTTGTTGTCAACCGCGCTTTGTGGCTACTTGTAGTACAAATGCATAGTTGTGAGATCTGCACTCTAAAAAAGACCATGACCATTTTGGGCCATACATGAATTTTGTATTAATTAAACTAAATTAAATCAAGGATACAATTTTTGCTTTATAGTTATGTGAGTTCTTTTATTTTTGAAAAAGGTAACATTATTTTTAAGTGTGCCTCTAACCTGTTCTGTTTAATCATAGAATTGGAAGGAAATTGGTTTGAGTGTGACAGACCAGCCGAGTCTTTACGTACACCGCTTACTTATTTACACTTTTTCTCTTTCTTCACCCAGTTTTATCCAGTCTGTTGTCAGTGGTGTCTTGAACGCCGAGATGAGCAGATAATGACGTGACTAGAAATCCAACCTGGGCAAACTTGTGATGCTTCAAGTTCTGAATTAAACTTATCGTGCTTTATCAAATTAGTGAAAATTGTTGCAAATTTCAATTCCAATTTTATTCGCGAGATGGATCAACTAAAATGGTGGACTTGGATGCGATGGGTGGCATACATGGATTGGGTAAGAAATCAGGTGAAATTTTGTACAATTTTTAGGAGGTTCTTACTTCACAAGTTTTTGTATAGAGCTTCTCTCTCCCATTCCCTGGAATTTTGCT